CTTGGTGGGGGGGGGGGGGCTGCGTAGTGTCTCGAGGTGTGTGGTATCTGGGGGGTAAGGAGGGCTGCGTCTAGTCTCGAACGGGTGTGGTATCTGGCGGCTTGGGGGGGGGGGCCTGCGTAGTCTCGAGGTGTGTTATCCTTCGATGGGGGGGGAGGGCTGCGTGTGGTATCCCTTGGGGGGGGGGGGGGCCAGCCGCGTAGTCTCGAGGTGTGGTATCATCTGGGGGGGGGGGGGGGTAGTCTCGAGGTGTGGTAAATTGGGGGGGGGGGGGCTGCGTAGTCTCGAGGTGTGGTATCCTTAGGCGACCCCCCGGGGGGGGGGGGGGGGGGGGGAGAGGGCAGCGTAGTCTCGAGGGTGTGGTATCTCGGGGGGGGGGGGGGCTGCGTAGTCTCGAGGTGTGGTATCCTCGAGGTTGGGGGGGGGGGGGGTGGCTGCGTAGTCTCGTGGTGTGGTATCCTTGGGGGGGGGGGGGAGGGCTGCGTAGTCTCGATGTGGGTGAGGTGGTATGGTTATTGGGGGGGGGGCAGCGTAGTCTCGAGGTGGGTATCTGGGGGGGGGGGGGCTGCGTAGTCTCGAGGTGTGGTATATGGGGGGGGGGGCAGCGTAGTCTCGAGGTGTGGTATCTGGGGGGGGGGGGGGGCTGCGTAGTCTCGAGGTTGTGGTATCTGGGGGGGGGGGGGCAGCGTAGTCTCGAGGTGTGGTATCTGGGGGGGTGGGGCGGTGCGCCTGCGTAGTCTCGAGGTGTGGTATCTGGGGGGGTGGGGGGCAGGCGTTAGTCTCGAGGTGTGGTATCTGGGGGGGGGGGCAGCGCCGTAGTCTCGATGCTTGTGGTATCTGTGGGGGGGGGGGGGGGCAGGTTAGTCTCGAGGTGTGGTATCTGGGGGGGGGGGGAGCGGTAGTCTCGAGGTGTGGTATCTGGGGGGGGGGGGAGGCTGCGTAGTCTCGAGGTGTGGTATCTGGAGGGGGGGGGGAGGGCTGCGTAGTCTCGAGGTGTGGTATCTGGGGGGGGGGGAGTGGGGGCTGAGTAGTCTCGAGGTGTGGTATCTGGGGGGGGGGGGGACGGGCTGCGTAGTCTCGAGGTGTGGTTATATGGGGGGGGGGGGGGGGCTGCGTAGTCTCGAGGGTGGAGGTATCCTTGGGGGGGGAGAGGCAGCGTAGTCTCGAGGTGTGGTATCTGGGGGGGGGAGGGGCTGCGTAGTCTTGAGGTGTTGGTATCTGGGAAAGGGGGGGGGGGGCAGCGTAGTCTCGAGGTGTGGTATCTGGGGGGGGGGGCAGCGTAGTCTCGAGGTGTGGTATCCGTTAGGGGGGGGGGCTGCGTAGTCTCGAGGTGTGGTATCTGGGGGGGGGGGGGGCAGCGTAGTCTCGAGGTGTGGTATCTGGGGGGGGAGGGCAGCGTAGTCTCGAGGTGTGGTATCCTTGGGGGGGGGGGCTGCGTAGTCTCGAGGGTGTGGTATCTGGGGGGGGGGGGGGGCAGCGTAGTCTCGAGGGTGTGTGTTATCTGGGGGGGGGGGGTGGGGGAGGGCAGCGTAGTCTCGAGGTGTGGTATCCTTGGGGGGGGGGAGGGCTGCGTAGTCTCGAGGTGTGGTATCTGGGGGGGGGGCAGCGTAGTCTCGAGGTGTGGTATCGGGGGGGGGGGCAGCGTAGTCTCGAGGTGTGGTATCTGGGGGGGGGGCAGCGTAGTCTCGAGGTGTGGTATCGGGGGGGGGGGGGGGGCAACGTAGTCTCGAGGTGTGTATCTGGGGGTGGGCAGCGTAGTAGTCTCGAGGTGTGGTATCGTTAGGGGGGAGGGCTGCGTAGTCTCGAGGTGTGGTATCTGGGGGGTGGGGGGGGGGCAGCGTAGTCTCGAGTGTGTGGTATCCGTTAGGGGGGGGGGCTGCGTAGTCTCGAGGTGTGGTATCTGGGGGGGGGGGGGGGCAGCGTAGTCTCGAGGTGTGGTATATGGGGGGGGGGGGAGCAGCGTAGTCTCGAGGTGTGGTATCTGGGGGGGGGGGGCAGCGTAGTCTCGAGGTGTGGTATCCGCTAGGGGGGGGGAGGGCCTGCGTAGTCTCGAGGTGTGGTATCCGTTAGGGGGGGGGGCTGCGTAGTCTCGAGGTGTGGTATCCTGGGGGGGGGGGGGGGCTGCGTAGTCTCGAGGTGTGGTATCCTTGGGGGGGGAGGGCTGCGTAGTCTCGAGGTGTGGTATCCTTGGGGGGGGGGGGGGGCTGCGTAGTCTCGAGGTGTGGTATCCGCCTCGTGTGCTAGAGGTCCTGGGTTGTGGCCCCAATGAGGGCTGGGATGTTTGGTGTTGAGTTTAGTCCGATACTCGCGTTGAGTTTAGTCCGATGCTTGGTGTTGTGTCGGCGCACTGGGAGATGCCAATTGTAATGTCATCCTGTCTGATTCCACATAGCACATATGGACTGACTAAAACCAAGTCTAAGTATTTTACTATTTGGCACCCAACTCGTCAGATATAACAACTTTGAAAAACAACATCCCATCCTTTAAAAAAATATCT